AGCTCATGGGGTTATTCTTGTGGAGAAAAATTGAAGAAGGGAGAATTATGAATAGCTTCTTGAGCTTCTGTAAGAAAGGCAACATAGAAATCTATTCTACAGTATATATTTAAAAGAATAGATAACCATGGGAATAACAGAAGACCGCTGGAAGGATTCAAATGGGAGGAACCATATGGAGGAGGTTTTAAAGCCATGGTCTTGATCCACCGGCCCAAATTTACAATTTCCTATATATTTTATAAATTGTTTTAAGGCAGAAACCCAAGTTAGATTTAGATTTGTTTAAATAAGGGGCTCTTTCTCTTTCTTATATCTACCAAATGGACACTGAAACACATTTTCTACATCTGATGAAATAGCTGTCATGCGATCTTATGAGAAAATGGTCATTTGTCACTAACAGACCAAAGGTCATATTAAGATGTTGTAATTCTGTATTTTCTTGTCTAGTTTACAAGATACATTATTTTTCAAAATACTGTAAGATAAATGGAACAGTCAGTATGGCACAGCTTAAAGAGAACTGCCCTTAGGTTGGAGAAACCTGGAATACTTCTGGAGAAATAATGTATTACTCAATTGCCTTTCCTTGTATACAAACCTTTATACAGAGCTTAGACAATTTTCTCGTACATTTGTTACGTGCCATGTTTTTTCCATCAAGATATTGGCCTTTTCTTTCACCAAAGAAATAGCATAAGGAAGTAAATTGTTGTCAATACAAAGAGCCATCAGCTTGGAAGCAGTACGTAACTTCAATTCTCTGTCCTATTCCTTTTAGGTCCCTTATTATTCTGCACTGCACTGCAAAATATGGAAGGCATTGTAGTTGGTGAAAGCAACCATTTTCTCAGTCAAAAAGCTCGTTTCTCTTAAGTAGTAATCAACACAGATTTCTCAGGAGCTGCTTTGACAAATGAATTACTTTATTTCATTATTTGATTATTTATATCCCGCTTTTAATATTTTTACAAATAACTCAAGGCGGAGAACATATCCAACACACCTTCCTCTTTCTATTTTCCCCACAACAACAACCCTGTTGGGGGTTGGGCTGAGAGAGAATGACTGGCCCACAGTCACCCAGCTGGCATTCATGACTAAGGGGAGACTTGAACTTACAGTTTCTCGCTTTCTAGCCTGTCACCTTAGCCACTAGACCTAAGTGGTTCTCCTTTTGGATTGCACTGTCAAAAGCCTAATCGGAAGGACACAGAGGCATGTTATCAAAAGAATATGGCTCAAGTGCCCCAGGTACATCCGTGGCTACCAGATAACTGTCTCAGTCCAGAAGTAATCCAAGAAAGGAGCTTCTAGGTGGTTATTCAAGAAACAGTACAGTTAATCTGAAATATGTATGTAAATAGATGAGCTTGGTTTTTGGTAAAGACTACTTTACCCCCTTCAACCCAACTTCTTTCTAGAGACATTTCTGGTAGATATCCAGGAACAGCTCAAAATCGTAGGTGGGTTGGAAGGAGAGGTTTGACTTTTCATAAGAACTGCATCAAGAGGGAGTTTTACAGCTGAGCAGAGAAGAAAGAGTATGCTGCATTATGTAGTCTTCCAGTAGAGCATTGCAGACACCTGGTGGCTACTCAGACAATTACATCTGGCAGAATTAAACTATTTCATATTCATATTCATCTATATTTTGAATTAATTGTTATATTAAAACGGGTGGGTTAGGTCTCCCAAAGATAGCAAGGTTGGCACCTAGCTAAACAAAATGTGTCCAAACTGATCTCCACTTCTAGACCAGAACATAGATTTAAGGAAATCAACAGATGATATTCTTCATGGCTGGAGCTATGCAGATCTCCTGCCAATTGTTGAAGTGCCAATTCCTACTACAAGAGCAATCAGGCCCCTTCTCTAAATTTAACTTCCTTTTCTTTAAGAGTTCTCTGGTTTTGGTTTTGGTTTTTTGCAAAGATACATAAAGAAATATGTAGTTCACGATCTATTGAAATACCCAATAAAGAACTATTTTCTTATGGTTGCATTTTAAGGGTTTGCAATTTTTCAAACATTTTACCTATTATTTAATAAACAGGTTTTTATTTATTTACTTCATCAAATTTTGAAATCATCCATCTCTCACACAGAGGGACTCTGGACAGTGTATATCAGTGGTTCTCAATCTTTCCGCCTTGGCGGCCCAGCCCAGCGTGGGGGGGGAGGGGCATGTGAGTGGCATAGCTCTGTTGGTGCAAGCAGCAGGCACTTGCATGTAGCTCCACTCACGCGAGAGGAGAGTGCTTGAGCAGAAGGAGCTTGTGCTCACACACGAACCTCACTCGCATGAGTGGACGGTGCTCACGCGTGAAGCTCCATTTGTGAGAATGGAGCTTTGCACGTGAGCACTCTCCACTCGCACCAGTGGAGCTTCACGTGCGAGCGCAAGGGTCCTCCACTCACCCGTGTGGACCTTTGCATGAGCACGCTTCCCCATCAGTCTTGCGCTCCAGTTTTGAACAAGTTGCAGCCCACTACTGGGCCACAAGCCTGGGGTTTGGCACCCCTGGTATATATGGACTGAATTGAGGTTTGTGCCCTTTTGTTTTGAAGGGTAATGAATTAAAATTACCTCCACATCCCAACTCCATGGGATTTAAGCTGTTGCAATTATGAAAACAAGAATACTTCCAAATAATTCTGAGGTGAGATGAGGGGAGAGGCAGTCATTTTGCAACTGCCAAGAAAAAGAGAAGCACTATTGAAAAAAAGCAAATGAGCAGCAGAGATAAAAAAAACTGAAGAGGTCTCTGTGGAAAAGCAAAGAACGAAATCTAAATTAAAATAGTCTAAAGATTAGCCATTTCTAAGGAGATGCTACTTTGTGAATTTTAATCTTTTTTTAATACTAAAAGACACAAGATTTTTCTTTTCTTTTTTTTCTAGCCAATTTCTCTTTCTTCTCCATCATCTCCATCCTGATTTCTTAATCCTGGGTTTCTTCTTTTTTCTTTTTTGTTATTTCTGCTGGAAAAAGGAAGGTGTATGTAGGTGTGCTTGTGTATGCATGCGCACTTACATTAATGTGTTTGAGAATGATTTGTGGGCACTGAAAGGGAGAAGGGTTGGCATGACAATGAGGGTGCTTATTGCAAGAAGGTGGAGGATTTGGTGGACTGATGCAAGGAAAACAGCATAGTTTTGAAAAAAACAAAGAGATCATTATCAATTTCAGAAAAGGCAGGAATAGTCACATCCTCTGTGCATTAATGATTCACCTGTAGAGATGGTTACCAGGAACAAATTCCTGGGTGTGCAGTTAACAAGTAGACTGGCTTGGTCGCTCAACAGCGAGACACTGGTGAAGCAGGCACAGCAGCACCTGCATTTTCTGCATCGCATGAGAAAAGCACATCTTCCTTCCCCTGTCCTCACCACTTTCTACAGAGGGACAATCGAGAGCATCCTGTCATACAGCATCACAGTCTGGTTCAGAAGCATCACTGCTTCAGACAGGAAGGCAGTGCAGAGAGTGGTGAGGATGGCTGAAAAGATTATTGGCAGTTCCCTCCCTTCCATCCAGGACATAGAACATAAGCATTGCTTGAGCAGGGTCCACAAGATTGTCTGGGACACTACACATCCTCTTCATGACCAGTTTTCTTTATTACCTTTTGGGAGGAGGGTCCGTGGTATCTGAAGCAAAACATCCAGATTCAGTCACAGTTTTGTTCCATACAGTATTAACCTTGTGAACTCTAAAGCTTTCTCCTTCCGTTAGGTATTCAAGATGGACAGTGATTAATATTTATATGTTACTTATATGTAAGAATGTAGGTCTATACATATGTTGCATATAGTATGTTTAAATGTGTGTTATGTATGTTTACACTTTGAGAGCAAGCAACTAAATTTCATTTGTAATGTGTGCCATTTTGCCCACAGTAAAAAAATGACAATAAAGGTTTCCTAAAATCTAAATCTAAATCTACAGGTGAGATCCATTTTGTTACTTTTAACTGATAATTGTACATTGTTAATACTGGTTTTTTTAAGCATGGCCTCTAGCAAGTATATATGTATACAGTACATGTAGGTATGTGAATGCATACATGCATACCTACGAACCTGTATGTGTATACAGTGTATATACTGTATATGTATATATGTGTGCGTGCGGGCATAGTAATACTGGTAGTCCTTATAATTGAGCCCAATTTTTCTGTTGGTGAGACAGTTGTTAAATGAGTTTTGCCCCATTTTATGGCCTTTCTTGCCACAGTTGTTAAGTGAATCACTGCAGTTGTTAAGTTAGTAACACAGTTGTTAAGTGGACCTGGTTTCTCCATTGACTTGCTTGTCAAAAGGTCACAAAATGACCTTGAAAACTGCAACCATCATAAATCTGAGCCAGTTGCCAAGGGTCTGAATTTTGATCATGTGACCACAAGGATGCTACAAATGGTTGTGAGAAAAATGGTCATAGGGCACTTTTTTCAATGCTGTTGTAACTTTGAACGGTCACTAAATGAAAGATTGTAAGTCGACGATTACCTGTATACATGCACATTTACATGCTTTTATCAAACTAAATAGAAGAGCCATGTACTACCTCTCAAGATTGGTGTTAGCATTACTTGTAAGGGAGTAGCAAGGTTTTTGAAGCAGTGGCACCAGCAGATGGGTCCAAGAGGGTTCCAACTTAAGTCAGCAGCATCTTGACACATTGCAATACAAGTCACGTCTCCAACACATCATCATATACCTCAAAGGAACAGAGTTTGTGGCCCACTGCTGTTTTATCCTTCTGACAGAAGCTGGAAGCCACTATGGGCACTGCTACTTTGAATTCAGAGAAAGATGGGTGAATTTAAAAATAAATTATGGCCTATATATGCTGTAGGGACTAACAGTCACACACATAATAGTTTAAAGATGCCTAAAATTATTGATAAAATTATGTGCTAAATTAATACATTTTTTGCATCTGCAATGTCACAACCTCACTCACAAAGCAGCAATTTAAACACTCACATGAGTTGAGCAAAGGGAGAAAGTCAGTTATATTCATTGGCAAAAGATAGTTAACTGAAACATCAGTTATAAAACAGAACTAAAAAACACAAGTTTACCAATAAGTTACTTCATGTTTCTACATCAAAACAAACATTCAATATACTGTAATAACAAAGAGCAGAATACTTTTACATATATCAACATTACCAAAAGGGATACTATTTGCACAGCATAGTTAACATCAGGACAAGATGAGTGTTCTTCAGTTCACAGGAGGAATCTTGCTGTGTGTGTGTGTGTGTGTGTGTGTGCGCGCATGCGAACGCACACGCAGGTAGGTAAACAGATGGTATTTTGTATTATGTTGCCATTTTAGCTTCGTACTTACTTAAGATAGAAATCACACATAAAGTTAATGAGATAAAAATAATTTATATCACAGCTACCATAATGTGTGTGAATTTCTCTTCCCAGACATCTTGGTAATTATTCCCCAGGCCATTTGGAGGCAACAGATTATTTGCTGTAGCCTAAATATTAATTTGTTGCATCCAAATGGGAAATAGTTTTCAAGCAGTGTTGCAGAGGAATCCGAAATTCTCTGGAAGCTTTATCAATTAGAAAACAGACACAATTTCCAGGGTTGCCAACCACTACACAACCTTTCCTGTGACTTGCAAGAGATTGGATGATGAATTTTAAGACACACACACTGAGTCATGTAGCATTATAATATATACTATACAGCAGTGTTTCTCAGTCTTGGCAGCTTGAAGATTGTGTGGACTTCAACTTTGATGTTGAGAAACACTGCTATACACTATTTCATTTATGGTTCGTGTCAACCAGAAACTGACCACCTCAGAATATGACCCAGAATCTTCGACTATGTGCAAGATTCCATAGCAAACCAACAAGAATTCCTTCACAGAAGAGGAAATGTGAAGATAGTTCACTGAAGACAGAAAGTTCAAAAATCCCCCCTATTTTATGTACATTATTTATGGAGGCTTTGATCTGAGGGGGAAAAAATAATGATTTGGGATAATTACAGGCATGAGAAATCAGGAATCACATTACAATAATTGGAGTAGTTTTACATACAGAACTCAGTAGCATGCTAAAATACAGGTTTTAACAAACACGTGTGCGATGGCCCCAGCTGATGGGTGAATTCAGTTGCAACTGAATTATCTTCTTAAATGTTAACTGTTTGTCTGGGTATACAAACTCCAGCTCATGTCATTTCAGTGGTAGTAGTTGCTGAAGGCGTGCAAAATATACAGCAGTGTAGTGATAAAGGCAAAGAACTGAAAAAGGAAAAAATGGCAACATTATTACCTACAATTTCCCCATTCCCAAAGCAAGTTAGCGTATCAGACTAGGAATAGTTTTAAATTCAGCTTCAAATTCAGTTTCAAAATGAGTCAAAAACTAACCTTACACCTGTTTCTCTTTCAGCTACCCAGCTTGCTGGATTGTTGAAGGATAAAATGAAGGTGAAGAAAATCTGACAGAACACAGTGGATTGTCACATAGATTCTAACTTTCCAGGCTCCTGGCCTCTAAAGGTGTTAGCATGCAACTTCTATTTTTATAATGACACGGGAGCTGTAGTCCCCCCCCCCCCCCCCCCAAAAAAAAATCCAGGTGATAAAGAGCAGGCCTTCCTAATGAACCATGAGTTTCCTTATATACCTGTTTGGCCTGGGAAGCAGATTAAATTTACCATTAACCAAAAGGAACATGTGGGATGAACAAACCATCTTACGCCAGCAATGCTTCTCTGATGCTCAGGGCTTTGTCTTCCCCAACACTCAGGCTCCTTGTTGAGTTAAACTCCTGCAGTCTGATGGAGTAGTTTAGTTTTCAAGTCCCTTTCACTGTTTACACTCATCCACATCCTGAATTAATTACTTTATTTATTAATTGGAGAAGTTAAATATAGAACAATTGACAAGTCAACATATTTTGTCAACTCTAGCTCTGTATTTTCATGTCTTGTTTAGCTACAACCCTATGCCGAAGGAAAAAGAAGACTTCTTCTATAGAAAAGTGTTCTTCATTATAAATCCAATATTAAATAGGTAGGGATAGACATGCTTGCGCCAAAGCAGGCCATGTCCTACGTGAAAGTTAATACTGCTTTACAACAGGGCTTTGTTCATACTTGAGCCATTAAGAGTCACATTTGGCCTTTGATGGGGGGGGGGGCTGTATTCCAAAAGGTAACAGCTGCAGCCAAACCAAAACTAAATTTACAAATTTGTAATGTAGTTTAATTTAATTTACTCATATTAGGTGCCAGCTGATAGGGGGGCTCATAGTATAACAAAAATGTTTTTAAAATCAACAAAAACAGATGAAAAGAAAGAAAGAAAGAAAGAAAGAAAGAAAGAAAGAAAGAAAGAAAGAAAGAAAGAAAGAAAGAAAGAAAGAAAGAACACTTTTTGAAATGTTGAGCCTAGCAGAGGCTGCCCTGCAATTTTCATTCTGGTTCCAGCAATAAAATGTCACCAGCAAACACTGAAATGGGAGGTTTCAAACAGACAGATAGATGCTCAGATGATGTGAGATTCTTACCGTGGCTGCAACATTGAGCTGATAGTAGCGAGGGATATGTACTTTTGGCACTTCAGTCTCTGAATGGATTGTTGCATTTGCCTGCAACACAGCAGCGCTCAGGTAAAAAATGGCTGTGGCTCCATGGTAAAGACTATCCTAAAAGAAGAGAGAAGTAGATGTGGACAGTGTTAAAAAAACAAGAAGGAAATGTGGAATTCTTCAGCCTGTATAGGACATTATGCAGAATTGCCCATTAAGTACAGAGGAAAGTCATCCTGGTAAGCAGTCCATTCATCATCTGAGATACCCACTTCAAATCTCTTTAAGCTGCAGGAGTTGTTGCCACTTACCAGAATTTTCCAGGATTCAACGTTTTTATGGAAGCCAAACAGATAACTCAGGAGGAGCAGGAAGGAGATGACAAAGGAGCTGACCGAGACGTACATGACCCATCCTTGCAGCAAAGGGAAATACACATTGGTAGCTGCTACAAGGATCCAGACCCAGCAACCAAAGATCTATTAGGGTGAAAAAAGTTGAAATACAAATGATTATCACTAAACTTTTTTCCATTTCATTTCCATTGGTTTAGTCTCTGATTTATGCCTGTATTTATTTATTTGGTTGATTGGTTGATTTATACATTTCATTAAAATGTAACTCTGGAGCAGAAGGCTAAAGTACAAATAAGTTATAACACCATCATATAAAATGATCTATCTTAAAACAACACAGTAAACACACTGACAGCAACACATTGATGCACAAAAAGTCCACCTGAAGCTTAGTTAGACAAGAATTCTTTTATATGTAATCTTAAAAGCTAACAGGCCACTGCACCAATCATTGTTGGTGTCATGGTTCCCAAAGAAGAAGCTTTTCAAAGAACTTTGAGGCCTTGTTTACCTTAAAAAATCCTTTTATTGCTACATAGCTTCGGCTCGTACATAATGAAGCCAAAAACTGAATTTTAACAAAGCATAACTCACTCCTTCATTTAACAGTCATCAATCACGTTCTCCAATTAGTTTGAAGTGTGAACTTCTCCCCCCCCATCTCCTCTGGTTACAACTGACCTTGAAAATACTGTACTGAATATTGTTATGGCTAACTATCCCCCGAGTACATACTTTCCCCCCTCCCTTCTAACATTGTCTGACTTTAATTCTAGAAGTGATACACAGGTTAAATAAAACATGTCTGCTTCTTCATATATTGTCAAGCAAGAACATCCGATGTTAGCAGCCTTGACAGTTGGACCATTGCAGTGTATCTCAGTCTCTAAAAACTGAATGTGTGTGAAACCAGTCTTCCTTGTCCAGGATTATATTGGCTATATAAAGAATGACCCTCAGCAAAAATAAATATTTATATTATTTAAATAATGGATTGTAAATATCTTTGTAACATGCTATTATGATAATACGCAATATCAGCAGGATTTTTTTCCTAAGAAACATCTAGTCCAAATTAAAAATATTTCCCTTGGATAACTAATATATATGCATATATTGTGGTTACTATGAAGCGGACAAAGTGCAAAACCACCAATAATTTTTTCCAAAGAGGGCACAAAAGAGAACCAGTCCCTCATTTCTTTCTTTATTTTTTCTTTGAACAAAAAAATGACAGAGCAAAAACTTTTTTAAAAAGTTAAATCAAGAACAAAATGTAAACAAATGCATGAGAGAGAGAAAAATGAACTAGGGAACGGCAATAGAGTGTTTATATTATAAGAATGTGCATTGAATCCTAAGGAGAAATACTAATATTTTAAACAATTATATTCAATATTTCCATCCTGAACAACATATGGTACAAACCAAGGTAATTCATTAAGAAAACTGTTGTTAAAAAAATAAAAACTGAAGATACCAATTGGGGGAAAGGGGTTGTCAGTTAATGTCTATTAAATCCAATTTTAAGTAAATGAAGTAATTTATGTCACTTGCATCACTGAGTCATCATTTGCACAAATGACATAAATGGATGCATGTTCCATTGAAACACCAATTATGGTGTTACATATCAATTGTCCAGTCTGCTTTGGAAATTAAAATGTGAAATAAAACCAAAATCTGAAGAAAAGTGCAAAGTAAAATTTTGTCAATTGCATTCAAAGTTCCCTAAATGGAATTCTGAGGAATTCACCCTATAGCTAATAGCTGGTGACCAAACTGGACTATAGTTATTCTTCATTGCAAGGTTTTATCAATGATAACATATCACTGCTACATTATCTGCCAAAGCAATTTCCAAAGAGGGTCAGTCTCATTATTGAAGTATTTTGAAAAATCAGTAAATGACAAGTTATCTACTTTAATATTGTTTTTGCTGCTGCTGCTGCTGCCACCAGAGCATTTTTGAAAATAGCAGATGGAAGGAACTAGGACATTTATTTATTTATTTGTTTGTTTGTTTGTTTGTTTGTTTGATAGCTTGATCTTTTTGTGTATTATTTATTTATATCCCGCCTTTATTATTTTTACAAATAACTTAAGGGAGTGAACATATCTAACACAACTTCCTTCTATTTTCCCCACAAAAACAACCCTCTGAGGAGAATTGGACTGACAGATAATGAGACTGGCCCAAAGCCACCCAGCTGGTTTTCATGGCTAAGGCAGAACTAGAATTCAGGGTCTCCCACTTTCTAGCCCAGTGATTTAACCACTATGCCTAACTGGCCCTTATGCAATAAAGAGGGAGCTATTTGCTGTTCTATTTGAAGCAGTAAAATATCTATACAGTTTGACATGGAATGGTATTTTGTAGTTGAAAAAGAGTAGATCATTTTTCCTCATAGGTTTACAGATTTATGTGAAAGCTACCTCCCAGGGCTGATGCAATCAATTAATGTAGATACAATTACTCATCCAAGGTCAACCACTCCCTTTCACATTCATGTTCAGGAATTCAATTAACCATCTGATTACTTAATATTATTTATCTTATCTTGACACTGGAATGTAGAAAGCAGAACTTGCAAGGTTCTACACTAATTTAACAGCAAAGGTGTGTATTGGCAGAGTATAGAATATATGATTAGAAGTTGGCAGTTACAACTCCAATCACATTTGTTCTTTGTGAATTCGGTAGAAGGTTAGCTCCATGACTAACGGTCAAAATGTTTGACTTGATGTATCTCCTTGATTATGAACAGCAGGACAAATTATGAAAAAAAAACCTGTGTGTCAAAAATGTATTAAAAGTTGCTTAAAATGGTAATATAGTTTAGTCTATTTTTTTTCTAAAAATGTTCAGACATTACAAATCTTTTATTAAAAAAACAATGTGCATAATTATAAATATTTAAAAGGACTTATTCCATAGAGAATAAAGCAGCCTTGCAAGTATATAAATAATTGTGCTAAACAAAGGGTGATCTTCGCACTTTAAACAACAAAATCCCTCATCCTCATCACTACCATCTGTCACCATATTCTGAGCAGCGGAATAATAGTACATTTATAGTTCAGTTTTGTGCATATTTATTGTATTCAGCGAGGTTTCTCATTTTGGAATTGTGATCTAAATAATCAACATATATTTTTAAAAGTATAATATTATATTAGGATCAACATAAATTTGAATTCCTGTCTCACAAACAGCCTGCTTTATTCTTATCCATTTCTCACTCATCTTGATTGTGATTGTCCTCAAAGGGAAGGGTGGACAAATGACATCATATGCATCATTATGACAGTGCAAATGATGCTATGACATCATTCTGCTTATACAAGACCTCTGGCTGGCTTAAGATTGCAGTTCTATCTTTCCAGACAACAGCTGCATGTATACTTGCCTTTATGTGCAAGCTCTATGTAAACATGCATAAAGTTATGTTGCAGATGCACCTACCTATTTTTCTCTGCTAAAGACATATGTTTCTAAGCTCACATGCAAAGGATTGTGTTACATAGGCACCTGTACCACAAACCTAGCCAGGTTCAGTGTTACATTTGTTTTGGTGGATGCCACCCTTGAGTGATATTGACTGCCTGTTTTCCTTATGTGTCATCAATAAGCCATTTCAACAAATCCGCATTAAAATAATAGCCAATTGCAGTCATGATCAATCAGACCAGAACCCTGCCTAGTCCAACATTCTTTTTCTAGTCCAACATTCCCATGGGAAATAGGACATATTAACATCTTCTTTGTTATTTCCAGCAACAAGTATTAAGAAACATGTTGCTATTCATTGGATAGAGAGGGAGAGAAAGTGTAGGATAAAGATTAAGCCTAAGAAGGCTTCTCCAAGAATTATAGCAATATGTGACAATCTAAACTGATTGTAGAACAGGACATCAATAGATATGGCCACTATTTTATCCAATCTTCTCCAATTCCAGGCTATATTAATAATGGATTTAAAGCAAATGTGGTTATCTCCCTAATACTAGATCCTAATAAAGCAAATTCTTGGTATTGATAATATCCCAAGACTTGTCTCTAGCATCTATACGTATAACCAAGAAGAAACAACTCAAAATCTTGAAGAAGTCAATGTAAGCAAAATTCTGTGCTGAATAGGAGCAGTGATCTGATATCTGATTCTGATCTGTTTTGCACAAAATGTCAATTTAGAATCAAACAGAGATCCTTAAATAGGACTTCCTGAAATATTATATGTATAAAACTAGTCATTATTCAGAGAAAAGATTATGAAACAGACAAGGAAAAACACCTGTGATTACATTTGGAAGATATATCATTTGTAAAAATATTTCAGCATGAAAAGATTGTGCCCCTTAAGAGTCATTAATTCCAAAGAACATGATTGCCCTGCAATTCTCTTTGTCTGTCAGGTTCTTGTATACCTATTTCAGCATACTTTGTAATGGTGTATCCAGAAGTACCCAGCACTCCCACTTCATTTCCAAGAAAGAAAGGGGGGGGAAACTTGATCTGAAGATGCTGAACTCTTTATTACCCACCAACCGGCACACACCCATGGAATGCCAATGAGCAAGGATCACTGCCAAGAAAGCTAATGCTCCCCCTTGCTGAGAAATTATCAGACAGGTTCTTCAAGGTGGGGAGTGTAGGAATACGCAATGAAAATTCAAAGCATTCAAAATGAAACCGCCACATATTATTTCAAAAGCCATAGTGTTATCTATGTCATTTTGTTTCTAAACTGCAGGTTCTTTCCAACTACATTATAATTGTAGTTTCTACAAATTCTCAAAAAATAATAGCTGGTGCAAAATTCACATATACAAACACCATGCTGTACAAAACTACATTCTAAACTGAACCAGCCAGATGCAGGTTCAAGTCTATTCTTAGCTACAGTTATTACATTTTGTATGAGTCGTTTTTCTAAGGCCAATTTTACTTCACAGAGTTGTTATAATATATTAGCGTATGTAGCTTTGAGCTCCTAGATAGAAGAAAGGTAGGATAAAAATGCAATTAAGAAAAAAAATGTAATTTCATTGAGCTGAAGCTAGTTTTGAGCTGTGATTTCATTGAGCTGAAGCTAGTGACATTGTCTAAGTTGCTTCTGCCACACATACAAAAAAGGAAATAAACATCTGGGACCCAGATGTGCTTGAATATTTTAAGGGACAGGAACAAATAAAAAAGATTTAGGGTAACAAAAATCAAAAGGAATGTTCCTGCATTTCATCCTAACTTTGATTCCCACATAAGCAGCCATATTTCACTTTATATTTAGTTTTTGTCATGATATTCTTCATGAATAGCTTTCCTTGCCCAACACTCAAAGAACTAAATATTAATTTAAAATATATGTATCACGCAGAATTATAAATTTTAAATCGACCTCTTCCCATAAGTTTGTTATTTGTAGCAATTCACCAAACTTTCATGTTGCTTTCTCATGAAAACTCTCAATTATTGTGTCACTTGTGAAAATGATAACGAAAAACAGAAACCCTCTTCCACTGAGCTGCCCATATTTTTTTTTTTTGCCTGAGCACAACCACTGTTACTATAGTCATTGAGTTCTTCTGTGCCACCATGGACTTGAAGATGTATTGCCCACATTGAGTAATGGTCTCTGGAACAATATTGCAAAGAAGGCATTAACAAACATGCTTTTATTTTCTTGCTTGCTTCATTTTTATTATAAGCCGTCAGCCCCACAAGGTAGACCAGACAAAAACATCAACTCTACAAGAAGGCTAAAACTGTTTCTATTAAGATTCAACATGATAACAGAATCTTCAAGTCTGGTTTTAATGTACCCTTCCCACTTTTATACTTCAGTGAATTAGGGAGGTATCTGTCTGTGCTGTTTTCAAATGTTATCTGGGTAGTTTGGACTTAAAATATATATTTACCACTGGTTGCCTTGGCAACCGAGATTGCATCAAGGTAATCTTCCTTACTATTTACACAATCTTTGCTGAATAGTTTTCATATAAATAAAAAATACACGAGCACCCATGCGTGCACACACACAAACACACACACACAACTCCAGTTAAGTTAAAATCCCTGCCTCGTACAATGAGAATGCAATTAACATAAGGAAAAGAATCCCTCTGCCATGTTTTATAACTCTTGAATATAACTTCCTGAAAGTTCTCAAAGTGAAGCATAATACAAACTGCACTGCCGCTACTTCCCAGTGAATTTCATTATCACACTATGTAATGATGACAGCTACTTTGATCTGCTATTTCTTAAAAAAATAGGACAAATTCCTGAATGCCAAGTTCCACAGATGGATGTAACCATAGGGAATCTCCAAGACTGTCAACTTAATCTGAATTCAACTGCATTTAAACAAGGACATTCTATTAGGGTCCCCCCCCCCACTGGATATATAAAATCCAAGATACCAGCTGAATCCTCAAGAGATAATAGTTCTGTATCTTTTGTTACCCAAACCTTGATGAGATTGACATAATTATTTTTTGTGACTCAATTCTAGAGACTTATTAGGAGTAGGAATGGGTGAAAGGGCAGAAAGTCCTATTCCTCTCTCTTCCCCTTTTCTTCTCTCCTACAAACAGACCTGTACAAAGTCTGGGGTCTCCTGTTTAATGAACTAGACTGAAAGTGACAATGCTTCCATCTCTCTTCTTTAGATATGCTATTCTTTTGGCGTTTTTTTAAATTCTTCTTCTTGTGCCATATCCGTTATCGGATGTTGGCGATCATGTTAGTAACAACCTTTAAAGCGCTCCATGGCAATGGACCTAGTTATTTGCAAGACCGCCTCCTACCAAACACCTCCCTTCGACCAGTCCGCTCCCACAGAGAGGGCCTCCTTAGGGTGCCGTCGGCCAGACAATGCCGGCTGGCGACCCCCAGGGGGAGAGCCTTCTCTGTGGCAGCTCCTGCCCTCTGGAATGACCTNAATAAATAAATAAATAAATGTTGGCGATCCTGTTTTTATCAGCAGCCGCACAAAAAAGTGCTGCTGAGAGTTTTTAAATGAACTCTTGAATTCATTAATGAATTAATGAATTTTCTAAGTTGCTACATGGGCCTTTCTTCTGTTCCTGAATTAATCAGCTCTGCTGTTTCTCCTTTGTGAAGCACTTTTAGTTGAATCAACCTTTATCCAAAGAATCACATGCCTAGCTACAACTAGTTTGTAAATCAATCCTTTTTGGATTATTAATTGTGAATATCTCCACAATTCACTGTTTGAAAATATTGACCCATGTCTTCAGAGAGCAAGTCCTGTATGAGCACAGCATCTTACTCAGCCTCACAGCAGCCAAGTTGAATAATCGAAGAATAATTAGGGAGGGTGGAAGAAAGATTCCACAAACCCTTGTAAACCAGGTTGAATACTGTAATGCAGTATTAATATCTCCAAGCTAACCATTCCATTGCTGACATAGTTTCTAGCTATAGTTTTCTGAAAATTAGGAACAAAGAGTCAATCTTAATATACATCCAAACTGCTATCATATGATCAGCTTCATAGTTATATGGGTATTATATGCTTTACATATATGAATATATAAAGAAGTCTATAAATTTGTACTTATGTCCTCATATCCATAAGTCCTCACACTTATGACAATCACTGCATCTCTATAGTCAAGTGATCAAAATTTTGATGCTTGGCAACCAACATGTATTTATGATAGTTGCAACATCCTGGAGTCTTATGATCATTGTTTATGACATTCCCAGCTGACTTCCAACAAGCAAAGTTAATGGAGAAAGTTTTATTTCTTTATCAACTGCATGATTCACTTAACACTATGACAAAAAGATCAGAAAATCAGGTTCAACTCACTTAATACATGCCTTACTTAGCAACAGAAATTCTGGTCTCCATTGTGGTTGTAAGTCAAGGACTAACACAGCTCTCTTCTAACAAAGCTACAACTTTGTGCTGTATGCTAACTGTGGATAGATGCTTTAGCTCCTTAAAGTGCACATTTTAAGAGCAATGGGAAGAAGATATAGGGCATGTGCTTTGATGCATAGCTGATCAAAATATGCAATTCTTGAACCATAAAATGAAGTAGGGAAAGTTTACCAATCTTCAAATAAACCATTCATTAACTATGACCACAATTAGCATAAAACATATGTGCATAAACCTGCATATATCATATAAGTAGCTAGTACCAGGAATCATCACTATGACTTTGTACACTATTTCTGTACTTATAGTGACACTACATAGTTTACAAAACTGTTCCATTTTAAATTGGAGATAGGATTTTAAAAAATACAACAAAATTAAGTTAGCTGACTTACCAGCTCTGGCAAGATTAAGGCATATGGTATTGTTTTAAAAATGGCCAGTCCTGAAGGAGTGTCTTCAGGTGCTGGGCATCCAGGTGTTGGTCTTGAAGTTTTGGAATCCATTTCTATTGTCTCTATGTAGCTGTTGTTACGATCTGCTATCCACAATTACTTCTGCAGCAGAACTGTTGGCATGTGAAGCTTAAAATAGTATCCAGTGGCACACCCATGTGGACGTCAAAGGTGAAATCAGTTCCAGCCTGGCAGGTAGCTGTAGTCATTGTGGAAGAATTTCATACTATACCAAAACTAAGGCAGCTCATCCATAAGAGATCAGAGGTCAAGTATCCTGGTGGATATATTTGTATGTGATTAAATATCCTTTGGTAGCAGAAGGAGATGAACCTACAGATTCTGACTCTTTCTAAAAGGGTTCTTTTTTGAGGATCGAGTTCCCCTTTGGTTCCATTCCGAAGCATTGCCACTGGGAAGTTTCTTCTAGAAATCTTACATATCCTCTAGTCCGGTGTCTCTTAGTCTTGGCACCTTTAAGATGTGTGAACTTCAACTCCCAGAATTCCCCAACCAGCAGTTTCCAAGGTTGAGAAACATTGTTCTAGTCCAAACTAAATGGAGAAATTTGGTAAATCATCCCCAATAAATGATTATCCAGCTGAGCCTCTGTTTCAAAATCTCCAATGGAGCAAGTTGTGTGTTTAATTTTAGGAAGTTACTCCTAATATTGATTTTTCCTTGATTTCTGCCCACTAATGTCCTGCTGCTTCAAAAGAGAACAGCTTTTTTGTTTTCCCTTAGACTTACATTCTGCACCCTAAATATGCTTAGCTCACAGAATATGCTTGCAAGTCCTCATCTCATCCTATATCTTTTCTGACTTCCTCCAACTTCTCCACATCCCTTTTGAAGTACAGTACTGAGTACAGTACTGAGTACTGTACAGTACTGAGTACTATACACAGCATACAAGCATAATTTATCTAGAGCTGAATAAAATTGAACTATTGTTTTCTTGCCTGTGTCTTGCGATCTTAAACCTCTGAATTAGTGAAGCTACGTGACCACTCCTACAGCAGAAAGGATTAAAAACTCAAGTTTCTTTTAACTGCATATTTTGGAAGGGTTTGCTGCTTAAGAGCTACTTTACAAGTGAGCATACTGCTAGGAGAAGCCAACAGGGAGGGGCAGCAATAATTTAACAGAACAAAAGGCACAGAGAGGAAGAATCTAAAACCTGCTTGTGGAATTAATGCCTGTTTTGTTGTTTTGTTCTGCAATCAATACATGGCGTTATACATGTTTTTGAGCAACAATCATATGGCTTCAGAAACTCTCAATGCTAGCCTCGAACTCATTTATTCACCTTTCTAAAGAATGCAATTTGTCTTTGGTTCTTACATGGCCTTTCTTTTTAATGGGGAGCAGAAGGTAACAGGCAAATTAATTTTTACTGCATTTGAGCATCTTTTGCCAATCCTTCAATTAATGCGAAATAACAAGATGCCACCCAGTGGGCACAGGAATGCATTGTATAAGAACTATGAAACATACAATTTCACTTGTACAATCTTTCCCAAAGGGTAGGTAAATGATCACTGAATTGATTACTGAACCATAGTACTTTTTGGTAATGGGGACTTTGTTGTTTTTCCCTAGTTACTGTCCTCACAGCTTATTTTTAATTCCAATGCAATTGAAATTGAATCCCGTGCCCTTTGTTTCAGCCATTCTTTCATTTTCTGAGCATTTCCTCCTTGGGATAGAATAACAGAATAACAGAGTTGGGGAGGGACCTTGGAGATAATCTAGTCCAAACCCATACTCAGGCAGGAAACCCTACACCATTTCAGACAAATGGTTGTCCCAATCTCTTTTTAAAAAATTCCAGTGTTGGACCGTCTGGAGGCAAGTTGTTCCCAATTAATTGTTCTGTTAGGAAATTTCTCCTTAGTTTTAGGTTGCTTCTCTCCTTGATTAGTTTCCATCCGTTGCTTCTTGTCCTGCCTTCAGGCGCTTTGGAGAATAGTGTGACTCCCTCTTGTTTGTGGCAGCCCCTGAAATAATGGACAGTGCTATCTTGTCATCCTTAGTCCTTCTCTTCATTAAACTTTTCATTAAACTATGATAGTTCATACTGAAAGTCTAGTGACAACATACTGAATTATTCTCAACATTTTAACTATGAACGTTTGTGCTCTTTAAACAAGGATGGCTGTGAGGTTTTATTTATTGGCTGGGGCACATTAGTTTGTGTACCCTTCTTCTATAGTTTTGAGAATAGTATAAACCAGGGGTGGGGAATCTTGACTCTTTTATGACTTGTGGTCTTCAACTCCACAAGTTGAAGTCCACAAGTCATAAAAGAGCCAAGGTTCCCCACCCCTAGTATAAACATTTGAAATAAAATGAGCAGAGGTCCTTCATTTATACTCATCAGATGTAAACACTCTATAAATCTACTTTGCTAACAGTTTTGTAAGCTGCTGTCAATCTATACATAGATATATCCAGAATAGATGTTTTGTGTTAATGTATTAGAAATTATACATCATACAAACAAACCCATATAGGGAAAAACCATGCACCTCCAAGAAATACTGTAGTGTTGAGGATTATCGTATAAACCTACCTACTCATTTTCTACAATGTTCCTGATCTGAAAGGAAGACAAGTACACAGCAAGGTGCTTAGCCTAAAGTATGTTTAATTTTATACATAATTTAATTTTGGAGTTTGAGGCAAGGAATTTAAGTCTATTAACTTAACTTATTTTCTAACCATTTTAAGGGGAACACTGACATGTTTGGTTGAACAGATTCCATTGTCTTGCTGTTAATTGATTGGGAACACATCCAAAAACATGACTAGTTCTAGTTAGCCTTGTTGAACCAGTTTCTTCTCTACAGCTATATTTCTGTTTTGGGATCATTATGCAAATTAAGGCAATTGTCATTTATTTCAGTGACATGTGTACTTGGAGATCAGGGCAAAATCCAATGGTGAGTTTCTGAAATAAATAGTTGGTAGATAATAAAAATGAAGCGATTTCCCCTTCTCTAAACCTTTCAACCAGTATGTGCTTTCAGATGTACTCCATCCGGACTTTCAAATTCTGTGACACAGCTTTCAAGACTGCTTTTAAGTCTTCAGGCAAAAACAAGAAGAAAGCCCTCTGCACAGGGAAATTCCATTTGTGTACAGTTGAATTCAGCACTATTTGGGAAACTTTCTGCAAACCAGTCTCATTTCATTCTCAAAAAACTACATCAGTATCTTTGCTTATCATTCTGGAGCGATAAAATGCCTGGCAACAGTGAAAAAGGAAAAGATGTTGATAAGCCCCACTAAAGTACTAACATAGCAACACAGATCTGTCAAGTCTACTTCCATCCTACCAAGCAAAAGGCAGTGGGAATACAGGTAGTTCTCGTTTAGCGCGCACACGCACACACACACACACACACACACACACAAATGTCATAAATACAGGAATTGGCCACAAAGTTACTTTTTCATTACCACTGTAACTGGTACAGTATCTGTATAATTTGTCTCACATTCAGTGTTTGTAGTAGATACCAACATTTATTAAATGAAATTTGCTTAATGTAAAGAAATATAAATGAAATAGGAAAATAACTCCTTGAAGAAAGACAAAAACATGATAAAATATCTTTAGTATGCATTTACTTCCTTCATAAATATACAAATCAATAACCAACATGATAGTTAAATTTTTAAAAAGTTTATCAATACCTTGCATTTATGAACCTGGTATAAAAGTTTTAGCCAAATGATAAAAATACATTTTGGAACACATTATCAATTCTATTTAATTAGTTCGTGTTGGCTTGGCAATTGGTAGATGAATAGCCACAAATGTCTTTCATATTAGAGGACTATTTTTTCTAGCCTCTCCTAAAAAATCATATGCAGTTTCCATGACATCAAAAGCTTTGTGAGGGCTTTCCAACGATAGCAGAGAAGATAGACTACCACCTCTTTCTCGATTTTTCTTCAGGAATTCAGCTATTATTCGCCAGCGAGTGCCTTCAGATTCTTCTTCTGCCCACTTATACTCTGGGAGCGACACAGACTGAAGAAGCGGATAGACGGTGTCATGGTACACCAGGACAAACACTGATTTCAGAAAGTCCCGGTCTCTCTAATTAGGAGGAAGAGGAAGCAGAATACTTAAAATGTATTATTCCCTGAGAGCATCCTAAAACTTTATCTTTTTTGTATTAAAACTGTCACTCTTTATCTGATGATACTGATTAGAAATTACCCATTTTTATATTATATGTTACATAAATGTTTGCAAGTCACTGGGAAATAGGACTTGTGCTTTCTCAAGTTTGTATCTATAAAAACTGAGTAATTCTGACAAATGACAAAGGAAAGATAAATTATCCTTAATTACCCAGTTTCTGAAATATGAATGGTAAAGAAGCTGAGCCTCAAAGAATTCAAAACTGTAGTAAATTAGATTACAATAAGACAAGAATAATCCTTTTCGTCTCCTTCACTTTTACTAGCATTAGAACCACTGGAAATTCAACTCACCAGGATAATAGAATGTTGCAAATTAAACTAATTACACAAGAATAACATTGAAATTATTAGATATTGATATTGTTCTTACAATTGCTCAGCATAGAGACACTTTAACATTGCTGATGTTATAAACAATATATTTTGGGTCAGGTTATTGGATCAATAAAAAGAAAACTCAGTTGCTTATATGGAATTGGACAAAAGAAGAAAAACAATGTACATGCCAAATAACCAGATTTAACACTGATAATAAGAAGGTAAAACATTAAGGATTTTTCTTGACAAGAAACAATAAAGATTTATTCAAGAATAATTATTTGCCAACTTGCAAAAATATAACTGATATTTTCAGATGGAAGAAACTAAAATTATTCTAGTTAGACTACAGCCATTAAATGAATATTCCATTAAAAGGTAACTTCCCTTTTCAAATGATTCTAGTTGTCATTGAGAATAAGTTGCTAAATAACTGGCATAGATATGAATTATAATTATAAACACTAAGAACCTACAGGATTTAGGAGAACAAGGTGGTGTTGCAAACCCAAATTTCAGACTACATCATCATGACAGCTATTTAATATGGATTTCAGAACAGATCATATCTTATATAGTTCTATAACCCTTATAGAAGG